AATGTATATGCAAGGGAGGGGGCACATGTAAATTGTGGGGCCAAATGCATAGCTTATTGCAATGCAGAACACAAAATATATTCACATCACAGACCATATCGCTGACATTTCATGCTTCCCTTCTCCTTATGCTCATATCATCCCCTCTTGATCCTGATGTTCAGGCTAGATTAGCTAATGTTTATGCAGGAAAAGCAGCATCAATCACACATTAGAGAGAGGTACCAGCATACTCAGCAGAGCCTTGATTATAGGAAAGTTCAACCCCCCCTCCCCGATTCTCCTTCCAAGGAGTAACTGCCTCCTCACAAAAAGCTGTAGCGTTACTGTGCATGCTTGCAGAGCATGCATTACTCGATCAGTTGTTAAAATAACAAAAAAGTATTTGCACCAGGGGTTGTACACCAGTCATCCAAAAGGATTGCAGCAGATGAGACAGGTCAGTCCGTATCTACAAAGGTATCACATGGGCAATAGCTAGAGAGATGAAATTTTCAGGAATTTTGGAACCATGGGGAAAACTTTTCTCCCTGTGTGTGTGTGAGGAAAATAAAGACATTTTGTTGCAGGGCAGCATGTGCATCACCTGTATCTGTGACAGGTGATGTTGATACATTTAGGGAGCAATCCTATGCATGTTTAGACAGAAAAAGTCCTATTGAAGCGGGGAGGGGGTGCCCTCTGTAAGTGTGCAGTGAATTGCATCCTTTGAGTGGGCTCTGGTCACTCAAAACTTATGCCATATCAGATAAGTTGGTCTTTAAAGTGCTACAAGATTTTTTAAAAGCATTTCCCTGTCTTCTTAAGTACTTTTCTTTATAAGAAAAGGTACCTGCTATGAGACGAAGGAATTCAACTTGGACTTGGACTTTCTTGTCTGAAGGAAATGCACACATGTTTGTTTATTTATTCATTTAAAACTTTTGCGTACCATCCACTGCCATGTGGTCTCGGGGACGGTCTTACGGTAAAACAAAGTGGAGCACAGCATCCATTCTATACAAGAAAAACCCACCTAAATCTCAATCTTGAGAGGCCTTGAAATACTGGGAAAATAATAAGGTTGGGATGTCTCCTTAAGACTTTTATTGCAGGAGCCCATAACTAGAATAATTTCTGGGTCTATCTAAGCATTTCAACAAAATTGGAAAATTGCAGTACTGGATCAGCATAGGGAATGTCATAAAGTACATATTTTGCATGCGTGTGGTCTCAAGTTCAATCTCCAGCATCTTCACATAGGGCTGGAAAAATTCCTACTGTCAGCCAGTGTCAACAAAGCCAAGCTGGATGGACTAGCAGTCCAAACTCAGTATAACGTAGCTTCCTATGTTCCTATCAGTCACTTTAAGCATTTTTCTCACTTGTTAAACCACTGTGTTCTATGTTCTTTCTGTGCCTCGTATCACGTACTGTTCTGCCTCTGATTTTATAGTTCTGCTAACTTTCTCTTTCCTCAGCAAAGAAAACTTGCATGCACTCTCTCTGTCTACTCCATAGAGCACACACGGGAGCTATTCACACATAAGGCCAAACCAAGCTGCACAGTTACTGTATGGTACGAATCTTACCTTATTTTGTTTTGTTTTATTTATGTTGAAGGGACCTTCCATCCTGTGATCACACATTTGCCAGGCAGCTACTAATGGGGAGCGTCCATGTGCCACCATCGTTCCTCCAAATGGTGGCACATATTCCATCAGCCCTGCTGCTGGGAATCAATCCCAGTGTGCACTGCTCCTGCCTGCCCAGTCGGCCTCTCCCCTTGGCCCACACCTTCCCCTGCACATGTTCTCTGCCAGCCACCATTTTTTTCCTAGCTGCTCCATGGAGCCAATGTCTGCTCTTCGGAGTAGAACAATTGCTCTGCAGGAGTATGAGAGCAGCAGTCCCGTTGTTGCCCATACATAAGCATGTCCACCCACGCCTCTCTCCCTCTTCATTGCACATGTACCCAGTGTTCTCCCACTGCCCCCCATGAGCAGGATTTGCACATGCCGCTTGGCCACCTCCTCCCAGCAGCCCAGCTCATGGAGGGCAGCATCACATGCACCAGTGCGAAGAACAAGAGGGCATGCCCTGTTGGGCAGACTTCCATGATGGTGCCTGTCTGGGCGTGTGACTCGGAAACTCCACCAGCAGACTCGTCTGTCAAGAGGGGGTGTGATGGGGCTTGTGTGGAGTCCCCTGGATAGTTGGAGACAGGGTAGGAGTGAGATACCGGGCAGGAGGCAGTGCAGGAGATACAGGCTCCTTGGGATGTTGTGGTAGCAACGCCCCACTTGCTGCCCGTGTGCTGCTTGAAAGCAGGGCAGCTTCCCGCGGAGGAGGCCAGGGCTTTCCTGTGCCTTGGAAAGGCAGCTCCCTTGCTGGGGCCACTCGAGCTTGGGCAGTGACCAAGCAGGAGCACTGTGCATGGCTGCTCATGTGGTTGCTGCTGCTGGAGACGCTCCCTTTCTTCCCTGTGGGCGCACACTCTCTGATGCCCGCCCACCACACGGCGCACTGCAGTGCCCCATCCTGCTTCATTGCTTTGCGAGATGGGGCATTATGGTGGGATGGGGCATCACTGTGAGGGAAAGCGGGGCATCACGGCAGGCATTGCAGTGGCGGAGCATCAGAGAGTGCACACAGGCAGGGAGGAAAGGGAGTCCTGAGACATCCAGTCCACACCCTGCTTCAACAGTTAGCATGCAGCTGGAGTGTCTGGCCACTGAACTCACTGGTGGAAACGGGAACATTGCGACTGAATTCACAAATTATGGCAAGTAACGGAGTAGTGTGGAAACTTAGAATAGACCATTGGTTCTCTGTGGGGATTCAAAGTAACCAAATATGCCATGGTTCACCATGCTTGCTGAATTATGTGTAATGGCAAGCAATCTCCAGTGTGGTTTGTTGTTATGTGTGAACACAGCCACTCTCTTTGCTCTCTGGACCCCCATTTCTGTTGACCATTTTCCTTTTACCCATCCCATTGCACACATTCTCTTTCTCTGTTCTACACTCTGTCTCTCAGTTCTGCCCATTCTGGTTTTTTTTTTTTAATCCATATCTTGACCTCTGCACATCCTATCTTAATCCTCTCCTGTGTGTTTACTCTCCAGGGAGTAGCAGCCAATTCTGGCTCTTTGACAACCATACCAGTTTGAGACAAGTCTTTTTCATTCACATATTACTTTAAATTGTAGGTGGTCACTTAAAATGCTTTAGGTTTAGACCAAAGAATACAATGTGATTAGTCCGTGGAGAAAGCTGCAAGGGCAACATAGAACATATTACATGCATTCTGTCATCCTCACCTCTGTTGATGGGCCAGATATTTCTAGAAAGAGATGGAATGAGGAGTTTGGAATTCCCCTGTGGGCTGTAGACGTGTAGAGCAGGGACAAGAGGACTCACAGTAATTGAGCTGGGGACAATAGAGCAGTAATGGTTGTTGTTGTTGTTGTTCTTGTTGTTGTTATTATTACATTTTATACTGCCTATAGCCAAAGCTTTCTAGGCAGTTGACAGCAATAGACTCATACACTCAAGTCACCCATCCCACTTCTGCCCAGGCCTGATCCTGCTTATGCAAGCTGAAATGCCATGGGTTCAAATATAGGCAAGCTGTTAGCTCTCAGATTTAGATGCTTTCCTGTTATATGAAGAGAACTTTTCTTCTTTACTTGACTATTTTAATGATTATGGTGAAGTACTTGGGAAGGCATGAAATATGCTATAATATTACTGCTTTATTAAGTAGCCTACTAAAGGCATTGGCTTGGCTAGATTATGACTTTTGGTGGAAGACACTGCCCTTTCTGTGCTTAAATCATCATAATCCCTGTGCTTTAGAATGTCTGTAGAATAGCTGTATAAAAACTTAACCGTGTTTTTACACTCCCTAAATGCACATTTTAAAATGAGTTACTCTGAAGCAATACATAAGACTGAACAGCTGTTTTGTTGCTGCAGTGATTATTAACAGTTATGGAGTTTGTGTTTTTGGCTGAAATCATATATATTTGAAGGCTTTTGTTGTTGTTCTTTATGCTTGAATCATTGCTGCCTTGAAATCACTAGTCATAAGCATAGAGTTAAGTACTGTGGAATCAAACTCTTGATTTCAGTGGAACAGTGTCGGAATACTGATGTGTGTACTCGCTGAAGGACTGAGGCTGCAAAGTCTACACATTTATGGAGGAAGAGGTCTCCTTGAACTCGGTCTTGCCTTTGAGTCAAGGACCCCACAAAAAGGATCCCACAGAAAATCTTTGGTCCCCTGTACATGTATAGAGAGAGAAAGCCTATTGTTGGATCTTACTTTTTGTAAAATTATAGAGGTTTGGACTGAATGAGAGATGAGTTTTTGTGTCCAGTTAACTGTTCTTATATCAGTTTTTTCAGTTACTGAGCAGAAGTGTCAAAGGATTCAGTGGTGCAAACTGCCACGGGTCATCACTTGTGGAGAAGAGATGCTTCCTGTCAGGGGTCTTTCTCTCCTCAGTCTTTATCTATCCTCTCCGCTCAGAACTTAAATAGTTGGGGTTGCTTCAGATTATGTGTAATGCTTCAAACAGGCAAGTAAGACATTGACAAGAGAACATGTGGAAGGTAGTGAACCAGTTCTTGCAAGATAACTGCTACTATAACTCAATGAAAGGTCATGGGAGTCAAGCAAGAGTCATCTCTGTGGGAGAGTCAGTTCCTTCACAGAAATACGTAAGTCTGAACACAAATTCTAACATAAAACAGAATAGTTCCACTTTCTGCAAAAATGTCTTGCTTAAATTATAATTATCCCCGAATCAAGGTGGTAAAAATGGTTTCCATATTTGGCCCCTGAAGGGATTCTTATTTATTTATTTATTTTTCAATGTATTTCCTGCCTTTTTCCTACAAAGGGCTCAAGGCAGCTTACATCTGCTCCTCCATCTTATCCCCACAACAACAACCCTGTGAGGTAGGTTGGACTGAGAGTCTGTGACTGGCCCAAAGTCGCCCAGTTGGCTCCATGGCTGAGCGGGGACTCGAACCCAGATCCTCTGAGTCCCGGTCACATGCTCTTAACCACTACGCCACACTGGCTCTCATCATTTCAGTATAGTTCTTACCAAACGACAGATTGCTTCTCATTTTCTCTGATTATTTATTTATTTGGTTACTTCTGTTGTATGCTGTTCACAGCCATCAGAATGGTTTACCACAAAGATTTTGATTAGCACGAATCTCTGTTGCTATATGAATGATATTGCCACCGCAAGCAGCTATGTTAATTTTAATGGGCTGAATGGTAATGTACAGAAAAGTGCATTATAGTCTGTTGCTGTCATGAACTGTATACATTTTTCTCCTTTCCTCTTGTGGTTTTCATTCTCTTTCACAAGTTCACACTGAAGCTATTCTATTATTTGGACATTTTACTCATCTCTGTGAGCATATGAGGAAATTGTTAGGCTTGCTGGCTGAAAAGAAGGCTTATAGTTCAATAGGCTCAAGCAGAACTTTCAAGAAGTCTGATGTCACTCAGTCTATAACGAATGACATGTTGAAGAAGCAGAGCAAAGGCACTGGTTATATACATCCATATACTATTTTATTGGCTGCCCAAGTCACCCAATACTGGCAAGCTAAGGCTGTAGTGCACCCGAGGGTCATTTTTACACCTGAGGCCAGAGCAACAGAAACCAAACCAGGAATGCCCGCAGCTGATAAGCTCTCTTGGTTGTACAACGAGGAAGGTGTTTGAGTTTTGCTGCCCTGATCTGATCACGCAATGTACCTTACAATAACATTTGGTGTTGTAGAGTGTGATATTATAGCTCACACTCTCCAAATATCTGTAATTCTTATGGGCTTTCTTGGAATGTACAGCCTGCAGGTGTTTAGTAGACTGCAGCCAGCATTTCTGATTAGCAGAAGAGGCTTTTCAAATGAAAATACAGGATTTTGATAAGTGTATTCCCTTTTTCAAATACATTTAAATAATTTAAACGTATATAACCATTTGAAATAGCCTGTGTGTGTTTGTTTATATTTATATGAAAAGTATTACTTTACCTCTCCAGTGTCGCAGGGATTACATCACAGCTACTTCGTTGGTCAAGCTAGAAACAGTGCAGGTAAACTGTGGCGGGAACATTTCCACTGATGTACCTAAGGCGATACTTTAGATCTGCTGGTGTCGTGAAACTAAAGAGGCGAGTGGCCACAAGGGCGAGAGCGGGGCAGGCAGAATGTGGCCAACTTCAGCCAAAACAAAACAAAACAAAGCACAGCCATTCTTGTGCAAAAGCAAGGTGGGCAGGAAGCATGTTTGGAAGACTAATCCTGGAAGCTTCTGCTTCCTAACGAGGCACGTGCTCCCTGTGTGCCTTGTTAGCTGGCAGATTTGTTTGGGGTGTGGGGTTGTTTTGTACACAGACAGCGTGAGTTATTAGGAAGTATAAAAATGTAACAAACAAATAAATTTGGCAGCCGGCCGGGGGGGGGGGGGGCGGTGGGAGGTGCAAGCTGCTGCCTCAGTGCCTGGAAGTTGCTGACTCCCAGTCTAGAGCTTTCGTGTGGCTGCAGCCTCCTTGGATGTCAAGCGAGATTCATCAGTCCCTGAGAAGGCAGCGCACTGTTTGGGGCAATATGTGAAAATGTAGCTGTTTAAGAAGGCCGTTTCAAATTCTTCTGTTCCTTAATTTGGGGTTTAAAAGTTTGCTTGAAATATTGCTGGTTTTGGCTGTTCACCAACTTGAATTTCCTCTCAGGGAAATAGGTGGGATATACAATTTCAAAATAAAATGCATACAGTATATTCATTCTATTTGTATTCAGATAGCAGTATATGGCAGAATAATTATCCATTCTGGTGTTTGATTCTGCCTGGTGTCCTCTGCTAAACACTGCTGACGTGGCACCTCTAGAACAAAGCTTTCAGGGCCAGAAGTAAAGTAAAGAACTTGGAGCCCCTGATCTACAAAGTACAGAGGAGTTTAAACCTGGAATAAAGTGTTGCAGTGTTGGCAGATTATAATTATGTCTTCAGTGCACCAATGGTAGACTTCCGTGACTTCGAATCACAGTAGATGGAGTCTCTGAAGTAGGTGTGAGTTTAAGTGGACTCAGGGAGATGCTGGAGGACAGGAAGGCCCGGAGGAATGCTGTCCATGGGGTCGCAATGGGTCGGATGCAACTTCGCAACTAACAGCAGCAACGAAATCTGTGAAAACACCTCTCCCAGCCTAAACCTACCTGGACATTACACTTAATATCTGAGACTTCCTCTGAATGTCACCTCCAAGGAAATCTCAGAAAGTTGCAGAAGAGGACTTCTAGGTCATGGTCCTTCAGATATGGAACAATCTCTGCACTGAGGGTTGCCATCAAGTCTGCTATCCTTTTGGTACCAGGCAAGGCTGTTTTCTGTGCGAATCATTTAATGGCATTTAAAGTTTTTAAAATGCATATAGCAGTGGTGGGGGTGTGGGGTTATAGCTGCTTTTTTATTTTTAACAGATCTAGTTCAACTGAACTTGTTTTAGTTCAAATTGTTTTATAGTCTTTTTTCAATTTTATATTGAAATATACTGTTTTTATTGTTAGCTGTATACTGTTGTATATTGTTGTACACCATTGTCTATTGTTGTTCTACGATTGTCATTTTATTGCTACATTGTTATTTTTATTTTGTTATTCTGTTGTTGTTAATTGCTGTGTTGTAGAGCATCCTACAGGAATACTTGTGCAGTGTATAAATATAATAAATAAAACTGCCAAGAGAGCTTCAGCTGTTGGGCAGTATAGAAGTGGAATGAATAACAATAACAATAATTATGTTGGTAGAGCAGTTTGTGGCTGTAGTTTAATACAAAGTGTAGCACAGTGCTATGCCCGTTTGGTGCACATAACTGTATTTATTAAGCAGCCTTTAACTCTTTAGTCTTAAAGGCTTATTGTCTGAGTAAAAGAGAAAATCATGTTACTCATGTTACTAATTTGTTTGCATAAGCTTTGTTTCTGAAGTATCTTAGTACATAGATGGTATAATTTTGTTTTTGGAAATGTGAGGTCACCAGTATCCAGCAAAGAGATTTCAGCATTTAAAATATATTAGCATTGAAAAGTCTCACATATATATCTCACCACCAATGTGGTGGCGGGGGGGGGGAGCGCAAGAGTGAGCGAGCGAGCGAGCACACTCGCACACAGTAGAGCAGTACCAAAATAATTGTAAGTCTTACAATTTAGCAACACTGTAATATGTATTAATGGAATGTTCCTCCTACAGCAAGCTGTGTTTATACATCAGTTTGGTCTTGAGATATGAAAACTATGCACCACATTTATCCAGTCCATTAACATTTGCTTATTTCTTATATCTAACTGCTTGTTTCCAATATCTAACTGCCATGGAATCTTCTACCACCTTCTCCTCCACCTATCAGTTTGTCCTCCCTACATCGTTATAATACAGGCTGCTGAACAGATTATTTCTCTTTCATCTGTGGCTGATCCGCATTCCAGTAATGTTTTGGCTATGATAAAGAGAGAGGGGAAGTTTGTTAAAGTGCTTTCATAAATTCAGTCTTTTTGTTGTATGCAGTTTTCACCAAAGTCCTACTATAAGTGCCTGTTGGTAACAGTAACTTAAACTAAATTTTTCAGGAGAAATGCTAAAATTTCTGTTACATCTGTTGTTGTCATTTAGCCCTGTAGGGGAATTTCTATGGATGTAACCAGTTATCACCATCAAGTGGGCAGTCTCTGTAGGTATTATGCAGTTGTCTAAGCTGGAATGATTGTGACTAGTGGGAAACAATAATTTTGCCTAGCCTTCTTCATGCCCCACATTGGGCGCCAAAACTGTTACCGGACTGTGCCAGTCAACAGCTGGGGCAAACCCCGGGTGGACCCCAGACCTGAAGCCAAACAGAGCCTGAGACAAGACTTAGAGCCAAAACCAGCTTTATTCTAGTGCACTATAGAATCAAGGGAGACAAAAGGGGACATTCAGCCCAAAGCAGTGTCTCAAAAGTTGCACCCGGTACATGCGTTTTATACCTAGGTAACCAATTAGGTCACCTAATGCACATCTAATACATTGATACATCAATGTATGCACCCCCTCCCGTGCTGGAGAAAGAGTCCTTCCTTCTGTCAAGGACCAGACATTTCCCATGTCTATTTCTTACCTGCTCGAGATTCACACAGGCTTGCCATGTTCTTCCTCCCTGCACATTTGCAACTTTCATGGCAGCTAGAACCAGTGTCCACTGTCCCTTTGATTGCTGTATTCAAGGTCAGGCTAGCGTGTTAGCTGTGGGTTACACAAAGTTCATTTTGTTCTTATCCCCCCTCCCTTCTGGGACAGTATAACTGTGGTGTTTTTACTATGTGGCCTTCCTCTGGCCAACTACTTTTGGGGCCTTTCTCTAGCCAATTACTTTTGGGGTGTTTTGGGGTGCTGCAATTGGCAACAATAGTGGATCATAACTTGATTGTTTCTTCTAGTGCTTGTTCTTTCACTGGTTCAGTTTCTGTATTGTATATGGCTAGGGTTCTTATGGATGCTTTCACTATTGAACACGTCATGTGTGCAGTGCAGTATAGAATTCTGTGTGCAATTAGCCTCTGCAGTTCCAAGCATCTGAAAAGGCCACTTACTTACTAAATAACTCTGACTAAAGCAACTATAATTAGTCCTTTGAATGTAGATAACTGCTGTGTAATCATAAAATTCCTCCTTCTCGGTAAGGGAGGATTGTAGTCTCTCAGCGTCAGGTAGTTTTGGAGGAAATGCATTGCATACACCCATTCTAGTTTGGGCTCTGACCCAAGGTTTATGTTAGAAACTGCTTTAGTCACCCTATTTGATGACTTGTGCCAAGGATTGGATGTGGGGTTGCTTAGTTCTCCTGGACCTCTCAGAAACATTTGTCATTAGTCTCATTCTACTGTTCTGACTGTCTAGCTTGGTATTATGGTCACGGTATTACACTGGCTCCAGTCCTTCCTTTATAGTTAGTACCAGAAGGTGGTTCTGGGTGATTTCTCTTCCTCCCCATTGTCTCTGGCTTGTGAGGTGCCACAGAGTTCCTTTTTTTCTCCCAGGTTTGTTATCTGTATAAAGCTACTAGTTGAAAGTCACTTGGAAGCCTAGACTTCAAGTATTGCCAGTTGAAGATGGCAATCAGCTCTACCTTGCTTTTCTACTAACAATCCAACAGAGGTGGTAGAATTCTTGAACAAACGTCTTGATATGATACAGCTTCTAGAGTCAGTATGGGTATGGCTACCGCACTTGAAAAAATTTTGAAAATTGCCACTCAGTCAGTAGGGTGTCTGGAGGTAAAACTTCTACCCAGTATTTTTTAGATGTTGTGTTTTTCAGCCATGAAAAGGATGTCTTGGCTTTCTAGAAGCAAAATGTGACATTCAGTTACACTAGCAGCCCTTTCTTGGAGAAGTGTGCTGTTCCCTGACTAGCGTGTAATTTTCTACCAATGATTCTCTCATTTTGGGGAGGTAGAAGCTGTTGTGATTAGGAAAAGGGTGCGGGGAGCAGAATAGCACAGAAAATGAGTTTGTGCGGTTGTTGAAAAGGCATGTTATTAATTTCAGATAGCACGTTCTGCTCTTTGATAAGCAACTCTACTGAGGCATTAAAGAAGAAAGCATGTTGTTTACAGGCAGGGTAGTCTTCCACAGGTTTTACAAAGGAAATTTTATTCCTTGTTTGAGGCAAGCTAATCTTGGATAGAGGGGGCAACTGGCTTAAGATACTTGTTACTTCTGTTTGGGGTTAAAAAACAAAAACAAAAAACCCTCCTGGCTTTGTGGAAGAGAATGGAGGAAAGGTAAGAGAATGGGAGCAAGATTAAGGGTGATTTTATGAAACCCAGTGGAGTGTAATTCATGCAGAAAACTTGGAGCATTTTATAGATTAGAAAAGGGAACATAGAGCAAATCCCATTAAAAATGCCTTTATCTTTCCAATAGCAGGCTGTTGTCTTTAAAGAACAGTCATTCTATCAAAATATTCTCTTCTAGAAGGTGCAGGCTTTATTTCAATATATTGCCCTTGACAGAAGGAAAGGGCAGGGCAGGGCAGGGCAGGGAAAAAGAAAGGTAA